TTGGTGAAATGAGGTGTGGGTTCAGTAAGGCATTCAGTTCTTGCCTGTAGACCTGTGATTTTTACGTCAAGTTGATTCAGGTGCTCGATTAGGTTGAAAATAAGGACAACATAAGCTCGAAGATCATGTTGTGCTTGCTGTAACAGTTCTAAATTTTAGTAATTAGTCAGTCTTTTGAATGGAGCTTCTTAAAAACTGCTATTGTGTATGCAGGCTCTCTCCAGCAGTGACTGTTTTTGATGCTCTATTGTTTGGGATGACCCCTGAGCTGAACTCTCTGAAACTCAAATGTCTAATGTTCTTCATCAGGCCATGGTCTATAGATCCATTACAATGGAGCTGGAGCCTGCCTACAGCTTGGGAGCAAACCCAGACCTGTCTGTCACTGGCAGGAGGGGGATGCCACAAGCGCTTCAGTTCTGCTCGTGTCATTCTGCTTTGGTAGTGGCAGGCAGGCTTTAAACAGATCCCCTGCCTGCGAGAAAGGAACTTAGCAAAAGGCAGAGAAACTTGCTTTAACTTAGCTAAAAATCTGTTTCAGTGTCTCTGTTCTATTAGCAGGATGTCTGTGTTTTTCTTACTTTGTTTTCTCCTCTTATACACATGATTATTTTCCCACTTGTAGGCTTTATGGCTTTGGGGTGAGAAAGCAGAAGGGTGTAATTTCCATTACTTACCTTCCCTTCGTTAAGGAACCTGTCCCTCTTTCAGGTCATCCCAAGCAGATGGAAAGTTGTGTTGGATTGAAAAGCCCTGTTCATAGACTGAAAGGTGCACACACTTTTTCTGTAGTCCAAGCCCATCTTGGGCTGAGTGTTTGTGCACACATCTTACTTGCTTGTGTGTCCTGTCCTCATGCCCTTAGTGAAATTCTGAGAAACAAAAAAGTGGGTGAATTGGCAAGCTCTATCAGACACAGTGTTGCAGTTAAGTCTGCAGAGACTTAGTAGCAGCCACAGCTCTGACTGTAAAACTTATCTTTCTGCTTCATCTCGAAATGGGCAGGTCAAGAGACCGCCCAAGTCAGTGCCTTTGATGTTACATATACTGCAGACTATTCTCTGAAAAGCTTCCTGATATTTTCTCAGTGTAAGAAAGACGACAGAAAACTAGACACACTTGAGCTGTGCTGGGCACTGGTCTTTCACAGATTCTCTTTGCAGCCTTTACCTCTTTGGTGAGGGACAGAACTTGCTAAGTGAGACGGAAAATAATTCGAGATTTCTTGGTACTGGGAGGCACCTCATCACCTGAAATACGCTGGTTCTGGAGGCACAGAAGAGGAAACAAAAAATGTACATTACATTCTTATTTAACAGGCACTAGAGAAGGAATGGCTAGGGCAGTGAGTTTCTAGAAGGAAGAAGGGCATTTTATCTTAAATATTGAGCTGTTGTTGCTTAACTGGATTTGACTTATATATTTTCCCATTTATACCCAGGATTTTGAATAGCTTATAGAATCATAGTTCACTTCATTCTCAGTTTCCAAATTCTATATGCTACTACTTGGTTTAAGTGCTATGGGCAGCCTTTTTTTATTCCACTTCCTCTGACACAAAATTTTGATACCGTGTTAATCTGTTAGCCCTTAGCAAACACTTAGGCTATTAAACCCGAACCAGCAAACATTTAAACAGTAATAGCTAAATTAGCTTGTTACTGGTTTCTTATGTCATTAATAACCCTACTTGTCACGATAGCTTTTGCTGGGATCAGTTCAATTTTACATATTTTTCTCCAGAAGGCAGGATAGCTTATAAAAAACCACAAAACCTAAGCATTTGCATTCCTTAGGCTGCAAAATTGGAGGCCTGTGATTTTGTATCGAGGTATGTTGCACTGCACTGGCAATGTGAACTAAACTGTCATGCTTTTGGTTGATAATTTTCAGGGGTTTTTTGTCTCTTCTTAGAGAATTAAATGGATTTCATGCCTGTGGAACAGAGAAACCACACACACACACACACCTGTGTGAGGAAGCACTTTTCCCTTGCCCCAAAATGCTTTCACAGAACTTGTTCAGGGTTATGTTTTCTCCTTGCTTTCCCACTTCAGACCAGACTGTAAACGCAGGGAGCTGTTAAATACCCCTCATACTCTGCCCTGTGGTCAGCAGCACCACACATCCTCTCAGTCAGAAGTCTGCTTGTAGTGTTTGTGGGGTGTGTGAGAACAGACCTAATGCTGGCTGTGGGTGTAGAAACTCGTAGTGACTGGAAATAGCTTTGAAGCTTGAACTCCTCCTTGAAAGTGTTTGGGAAGCAGTTTCCTTTGGCACCTTTCAGCTGTGGGAAAGGCAGGGCTATTTATGGAGCTGAGCTGGTGTGAGGCAGCTGTTGCACGAGTGCTGTGTGTGCAGTGCTTTGCCATCCTTGGCTAAGCAGCTTCCTGTCGGGACCACTGATCCGTGTAACAGCGCTGTCTGTGGCAGAAGTGGTTGGGCTTTGTGCCATCCTGTGTGTCCAAACCTACTTCCAAGTGTGATTTTGAGAAAGCTGCACTTGGATAGCTTAAACTGAGGGGGAGGTGAGGTGGTGGCACAATTAACTGTAATTAATTATTCGATTTTGCTGTCATCGTGGGTAAATTTTGCTTTCACAGTGCAGTTTTACAGGCTTTATTTTTGGGATCATTTTTTGGCCTAGGCATCAGCTGAGGAAGGAGAAGACGTCAGTCCCATAATTGCATCTATTGTGAGCCTGCTACAGTGGAAAAATTAGGATTACTTGCAACAGGTTTTGCAGATAAAGCTTCTGACAATTTCCTCCAGGGATCCTAAGGTGCTGTTACAGTACATGTAGTTAGTGGCTCTTAATGCTCTTGGGGCTGGGAGCTTCAGCTCAGGACCAGTGGAATACTTTTTTACTTGCTAGTGACAGGTTGGGAGGTTGTATGTCATAAAAAAAAATCAAGATTACTGGGGAGGGAAGGGAGACATGGGGAGGGATCATGAAAAGCTCTGTATTCAGGGTGTAGAAAAGGGAAGAAAGTAAAAATAATGGGCACATGGAAATTTTCTGTGTAGCAGCAAATAGCCTGTATGACTTCCATGGATAGGACCTATGCCTTCTAAATTGCTAGACCTTGTTTGAAATGGGGAGGGGGGGCGTGTGACATCTGTGTAGCATTTGGGAGCTATGTATTTGATATACCTTCATTAAAGCAAAAAGGTGTTGAAAAGGTACCTGAAACTTTCTAACTTGGAAGACAAAGGCCTAGAATATTTGGTCAGTTTTAATAACAGATGGAGCTAGAAGGTGATTTTTAAGGGTTCTGGGGTTGGGATATGTTATGTTGGTGGTATCTCTTGAGATAAGTGTTTGTTCATGAAACCAAATTACTCAGAGTAGTTAAAACTAAAGCTTATAACTAGGAGCTTTGCTAAAGGGAATCTGTTATTTAGACTAAGGCAAGTCACTTTTTCTTGATAAAAGCAGTGGAATCTACATGGTGGGTGGGAATGGGAAATCTAAACAAAGCAAATATCTGTGATTATTTTAAAATCTGTCACAGAAGAAACCTGCTAGCATAATAGTGATTAAGAAAGATATAGCTAATGTGAGAAATCACTAGTAGAGACTCTTACAACAGAAGAGCAAACATGTTAATGGTGTCTTCAGATTTTGACTAATGGTGTTTTTTTCTTTGATTCATCTCAGTGTGTAATAGAACAATACTGGGCATGTAAACAGTGATGGTAAAAATAATGAACAGCACCTGTACCTTAAAAGCAGAATGGTTTAACACATCCCAGTTGTACTGGGAGGATCTGGTGGAGGCTCTCCAAGGTGGTTGGGGTGCTGAAGCATATCCAGAACATGGACAGGCTGAGTGCATGTGTTCCTTCAGTTTTGGGAGGAGGAGGGCAGGGTTTTTCTGTGCTCTGTGATCTGATAGGGAGGTTTAACAATGGAGGAGGTAGAGTCATCTCAGCCCTGCAGCTGCCAAGGATGAGAGACAAGAGACAGAAGTTGCAGCACTGGAAATTCTGATGAGATGTTGGGAAACTTCCCCCCTCCCCCAGAACAAGGTTAGTCAGCCATTGAGAAAATTGTTCAGAGGTAGCAGAAATCCCAGCCTTTGAACACACCCCTTCACAACTCCGCTGGACAAGACCACAGGCAAGCTGATCTCACTCATTCCTGTTTAAGCAAATTTGACCAGCTGGTCTTTGAGGTTCTGTCAAAGATGAGTTGTTCTGTAATGCTGTGGCTTTGTGGAAGAGAAAAACTTAAAAGGCCCTCATGGCAACTGAGCAGATTAACAAGATAAAAAAAAGTGTATTTAGTGAGGAAGAACGTCCTTCTCCATACTTTTTGCTTATACAGGGAAGAGAGCATAATCTCTGCAAGCTTTTTCTGATGTGTTCGGTGCTTGTCTCTGTATCTGCCGGGGTGCAGAGCAGAAAGGCTGATGGAAGTGACCCCTGCTGGCCGCAGATTTCCTCTGCTGATTCTGGCTTCTCTGGAAACGTTCGGCAAAACCAAAACAAACAGTGTTAGTGTAGACCATGCACACGAGGGACGCTGTGCTGGGGCCATGTGGGAGTGCCTTAAACCCTGTGTAGAACTGAAGTGCTGTATTCTTTTTTAAGACTATAGTATTGGCAGGGAATGCTGGACTCAATATATTCAGGCTTTTCCATTCCTCCCTTTTGTTCCCAGTGAGCAGAAGTTACACTGTTGAGTAACATTAGCTGTTTCCTAACCGTAGATTTACTAATAAAGCAACTAACCACAATAAATAATAAATTTGTGCAAGGTTTTCTTTCAAACATATCTAAATATATCTGAAACAAAAGAGCTACAGTTTCTATTTTCTCTGTTAACATGCAGGAAATACAAACTTTGATTTAGTTTTGGGGTTTTTTTGTCCTGCAGCATAAGTAGCACTATCACCGATGTATACAGCACAAAAGACCTACAATTTCAGTTTGCTCTGTTAACATGCAACAAATACAAACTTTGATTTAGTTTTGGGTTTTTTTTTGTCTTGCAGCATAAGCAGCACTATCATGGACGTAGACAGCACAATTTCCAGTGGGCGTTCCACGCCAGTGATGATGAATGGACAGGGAGTTCCTGCCTCCTCTGCCAAAAGCATTGCCTATAACTGCTGTTGGGATCACTGCCACGCCTGCTTCAGCTCCAGCCCGGACTTGGCGGATCACATTCGCTCCATACACGTGGATGGGCAGCGAGGAGGGGTTGGTGTTACCTTTGGGTTTTCCTTCTTTCTTATTTGCCAGTATTTTGCGCCAAAATTTTGTGTTTCAAAATTCCTTTTTTCTAGCTAGTGGCAGAAAAGTTACTAGCCTAACTGTAAGAATGTAGTCAGTTCTTTTCAATAAATTGAGACTTCCAGGGTTTTGATAGTGTGTTGACTTCTCAGTATCCTGAAGCTGCTGATGTGTCTTGAAGTGCTTACACTTGGAATTCATTTTCTTAAAACTCTTTAGTGTACGTGTTCCTGCTTGTGAACTCAGGTGAAGTCACATCTTAATTACTGTTACCAAAGGAGTCTCACTACAGGTAAAATCTATCCAGAATGTACAGTAGGGAAGATGTAAGACTGACTTAAGAGTACAAAGTCTTAACAAAACAGCTCTGTGTGCATTACTGATGGCAAGTTTGCCTTCTATATAATTGCATCTAATTTTTTTTTTTAATTGAGTTGCATGTATAAATATGTAAATTCCAGTCTAATCCCTGGTCAAATGATAATTGGTCTCAATTTTAATGTTTAAAAACATCTTCTAGTAGAGTAATTTCAACTTTGTACTTATCTACCTCCCATCTTCAAGCTCCCAAATTACCTCTGATGTCTGGAATATATCATGTGAACTACCTTTACATCCAGCACAAGCCATCTGCCTGTTTTAGGCACTGTGTGTTGCAGCTCTTCAATTTCTGGGAGAGATAACAACTATTCTACTTTGAGAACTGATACTATCTTTTGACTTTTTGCCTTGTCAGTTCTTCAGAAGGAAAATGTTAGGCTGTTGCACTTTATCTTCAGTGAATAAGAAACTTAAATAAAATGCTAATTTGAATTCCTTTAAATAATTTAGTATGTAAATATGTCACTGAGACAGCTGTGACTCTGGCTGTATTTTGATAATATTTTTTGCCATGATTGAACTTTTCAGCTTCGTATTTGATGGCTTTTTTCAGTCCAGTATCCGAGCAGAATCATCCATCCAGTGGAGTGGCTTTTTAGCCACCCATGAGATGATTTCTGAGTTCTGGCCACAGGTGTATAAAGGTGTTACATGAAACCTGCATGAAACAATGAAATGAATAAGGTGTGTTTGGGTCTTTGCTAGAGCATCCATGACTCCTTTACATTTCTTAAAAAGAGGCTGGAAGATTGTGCAGATTTTAGTTTGGGTTTTTTTTTTTTCCTGTATTTTCTTTCTTGTCACTTACATTTCATGTGACATGATTTGTCACATGAATATTTTTATTTAGAAAATATTGGACTGTATTTGTGTATTTGAAAGAGGAGGTTGTTGGAAGCACCAAGTGTCTTAATAACTGTTGCAGTGAGTTCACATTTTTGAATGCCTCTACTGGAGTTTATTTTTTGGGAAGTTCCAAGGCAGTGCTGTGGAAGGGGGATATATCCTGGTGGGTTTGTTTCAGGGATTTGTCTGCCACCTGCCGGTGAGGTGTTCAAGTCTGTTGGAAATTGTCTCGCACTTTTGATGGGATTTCAGACCTTTCTTAACTGCAATGCCTCTAAATTTGAAGAAAAGTGGGGGTTAAGTAATTGCTTATTGAGAATGGAAAGGAATAGGATAAACATCTTTGCATGGTAAAATGTACTTTTCCCAGCTAATACTGAGGGCATGGCTCCAGCCCAAACCAGATACATCCATTAAGAGCCTGGGAAACTTTTTGACAAAACAGTTTTGCTTTTGAATGATGTTATTTCAGAAATATTTTGGGTTCAACTTTTTGACAGGGGTTCCCAAGAAGCCTTGTGTAGCCTTCTGGCATGTGGCTGCAAACCCAGGTCCTTGTGTTTCCCCTGACTGTAAGTTCCCAGTAGCACCTTTGCCAAGTGCCCTGCAGTTGCTGCTGGAAATGCCAGGTCACTTTTGGAGCTGTTGCAGAGCCAGAAATCTCAGAAATTCCAGTTCTGTGGCTTTGAGGGGATCTCAAAACTGAGGAGTGACAGACCCCAAAGGTTTGGGGGCTTGGGCCTTGTGTCAGTGGGTCTGGATCAGTCCCAGACACTGAGGGATTTCCAGCTTTGTCTGAGAAAAGCTGGGTTATGGATCTATTGTACAGCAAGAACGTAGAACTCCCGTGGCTGCTTTTTCAGTTTGAAAATAAAATCTTTTGAAGGTTGAGGGGGTTTTATTGTCCAAAAGAGAACAAGAAACTGAAATCCAATTAGTTTCCTGCATTTCTGAAAACCTGTGTTATGAACAGTGCTGTTCCTGGGAACTTTCTTTTGCTGTGACAAATTAGGGCTTTACCTCCCTTCACCCACAGACCTGTTGAGGAAATTCTAATGAAAAGCAAGTTCATTGAGCTTTTTATTCCCTCAGTTACAGATAAACACAATGAGAGGAGAGAGAAAAGCAGCATGAGTGAGTTCTGCTGCCCTTAATGCACTATTGTGCATGTGATTGTTCTGTACACTGGAATCACAAAACACCCATAGATTTTGAGTCCTATGAGAAATGGTAGCTTCCTTCATCAGGAGTTGAATGTAAGGCCCTAACTAGAAGTATCTGGTATTCCAGAATACAAAACTCCAGTATATAGACTGCATTGCAATTAAGAGTTTTTACTTTTTCATGCTCAAGGAATAAATTAATTGCTTACGAGAGCAAATAATTGTATTTCTATAACTGCTACCCAGAAAATGCAAATTTTTCATTTAAAAATGTTCTGACTCCATATCTGGTGGATACAGATACTGAGTGCCAACACAAATGCAGCAGACCCTGTTGCTCTCGATTGTGTTTATCTACAGGAGCATCTGTTTGTTGGTATTTTCTTCCAGTGACTTGTTCTTATTGAACACTTGGGGTTGTAATTATTTTTTCCTCGGTGAGATATGAGAAGTGTGTTTCAAAATAAATGGTTATTGTTCAGAATTCTTTGAAGTGTTGTGAGATGTTGTAAAAACAACCTTCTTTGCTAATGTGCTTTTTATTTACTGTTCTCTCTGACTTGTGTAAACTTACCACGTTTTTACTCTATTAGGTGTTTGTTTGCTTGTGGAAAGGTTGCAAAGTATATAATACACCTTCAACAAGTCAAAGTTGGTTGCAGAGGCATATGCTGACACACAGTGGGGACAAACCTTTCAAGGTAAGGCTCATTGTAACATACATTATCTCTCATTTTTAGAAAAATTCTCTTTATTTTTCCTAATACAATATGTCAGTTGAAAAATACCATCACTGCAGTGAGCTGAAGAAAAGTGAGCTGAGCTTTCTTCTGTGCAGTAATAGTGTCCAAAGGTCTTGTTCTTTTACAAAAGCAGGTGAAGAAACTTACTGCTTCTCTATCTCTGTTTCTTTTAATCTATAAATGGCAGGGAGTGTAAAAGTAAATAGTGCTAAAGTTCAGGGAGTTTGTGCATTTTGAGGTTGAGCTGCTTACACTTTAACAGTGAGATATTTTCTCTCGTACTTTACACTTCCACATTGAGTTTTGGATCATGGCTGATGGTGCACATTCCTGCTTGAGTAAGAGCTGCTTTTGTTAAATTCAGTAGAAACACTGACAGTATTTGTGGTTCATTCTCTGAACAGAATAAGGAAGTCAGGAATGCAGGACCATTGACCTGGGTGTATTTCTTGCACAGTATTTTCTAACTTTCTCTTTCTTTCTCCCCTTAATCTGTACCTGCAATTCTAGGTATAGTAGTGTTTATCATTCCCATATCCACCAATCCGTTATTAATGAGTTGCTTCATCCTCTTATGGATACAGTTGGGGCAGTTCATAGCTGTCAGTCCTGGATCACTTGATGGTAAGTCCCACCCACACTACTTCAGACTGAAGTTCTTCCATGTAGGATATGAAAATGAAATAGGATTTGGGGGTTTTTTTTGAGTTTAGGTAGCAATTTATGCCTCCTTCTCTCCCACCCCTAACCTCACCAAGTTTTAGTCCCTGTCTTCCCTCTCTTCTGTTTCTTCTCAGGTAATATCTTCCACTTGTAAAAAAATTTAAGGCAGCTTTATTACTCAAAATATTTTTCTGTTACAGGGGTTTCTTTCTGTAGTTACGTTTTCTATATAGGTTTTAATAATAATTATGACAGAAAACAAAACTAAATTAAACTCAAAACCAAGAGAGCAAAAATAGTGCATTGCATGTGAAAAAATTTTTTTACCGAACAGATTTTTTCCATACTGAGCTGTGTAGTTTAGACTGAAAAATTCTGACTCAAAGTAACCACAGGAAAATGAGTTTTAAGATTATCATACCCTGTGTTTGAAGGAATGAATTTGGCATGCTCATGGAATGATAGCATAAGCATCATAGATCCCTGCAAGTTTGCAGATATGGTTGTTCCAGGAACTGACCTAATCTTAAATCATAATCTCTGATTATTATTATTAATAATAATAGTGGTAGTAGTAAAGAAAGCAACCACCACTTATCAGAGGAAACTTGTACCTTAGGTTTTCTCTATTTTTGAATGAAATATTTTGTCTACCTCAAAGTACAATGGCAAGCTTTGTTCTTGGATGAAAGTCTTTTAATAGCTTAATCTGTGTTCTTACTTGGTCTAGATCAAAGAAACTCAATTGTAAAGACATTGGGTTGAAGAGGTGGGCATAGCTGAGAAACAGCTGAGTACTTCTGAGTCTGTCAGCCTTACCTAGCAAAGGCAGTTGGTACCTGAGTTTTTTTGGCTAGGCTGGTTACAGCTAGAGCCCTAAAACTGTCAACAGTTGTTTCTGATAATAATCATCTTGTGTTCACTATCTGTTGTTTCACCAGCTGATTTTCTGTACTTTCTGCTCCTACTGAGGGAGAGAACAAAGCATTCAAGGGTTGCAGTAGTTAATCATCCTGCCTCAATGTGTGTCACTGCAGCATTTTTTCATACTGTTGTCTCGAGTCCCTCTGTTTGTTTTTTATCCCTGTATTTCTCAATCTGTTCCTGGGAGCTTTGAATGGAGGATAATTGTGGTCTGAGTAGAATTTTGTAACATCTTTTGTTCCCCTGTCATTTATGCTGAAATAAGCTTCAGGGCTCACATGAGGTAGCCAAGTATGTGAGTGTCTGTAATGGCAATCTATTAATTAACTGGCTCCTTTCCTTCATTTGCTGCTTCTTTTTTTTTATGTTAACTTAGAAATCTACTCTCTGAGACGAAAAACACTTGAAGTGTTGGATATTAGTCTTGACCAGTCCAAGAACAGCCTTTTATTAATTGTTTTGTGGCAGCCAGTCAAAAATGGAGCCAATGTGTCCATTTTGTGCATTTAGCTTGTCTCATAAATCTTAATTGCTCACCTTTCAGGGAAAGCCAGATTTTTTTGAAGTCAGAGTTAGTTTAAAGACTTGTTCTTGATAATTACTGCAGACAAAATATCTCCCAAAACCTAAATTGCAAATGAAACTTCAGTTGCCTCATGAGAATATACTTGAGTTGTAACATAAAAGGAAGGAATCTGTCATTTTAGAAAACTTGCAGAAAGTAATCATTCAGTGTTTTAGTTAAAAAATAATGTTGGCATTTTTGAGGAAAGCTGTAAGAAGCAGTAGTGGAAATAATACAGCTCTATGCTGTATATTTAGAATGTTTAAAAGAAAAGCAAAGAATCTTAGCTAGGAAAATGACAATTAAAAGTGTGGAAATCTTACTTTTGGAAAGGTAAATCAGTGACCAGAAGAGAATAATAAGTATATCACAGATTAATATATTAGTACATTTCTAGTGAAAAGAAGAGAGAAATGTAGTTTCTTAAATTGAGAAGCTTTGGGGACTGTTTCAAATGTAACTCCCTTTTGCACAGAAGGATATATCCCTGTCCAGATCCCCTTTTGCTTGCAAATGGGCTCATTTTATGTAGTTGCACATTTTGGGTTTAATTATCTCTTTTTGTGATACACATGGAGTTGTCCTTTGAGTAAAAGCTCCATTCAGCTCTAAATGAGCTGTTCTGCTTTCCCATTGAAAGGTCTTTGTTGGTTTTACCTGCCCTTTCCATTCATTCCTGTCAGCCATGTGACTGGGCAGTTCATTTGTCACAGAAATGAACCCACTTCTAAATTGCAAAGGCAAAATGGTTCATATTTTCATAAGTTTATCCTTTTTTTTCCCTGATTGTGTGGCTTATTGTGTCCCTCTCATCATGAATATTGCAGTACCTGTGTCACAGAAAAGGTAAATTTCCTTATGGATACCTATTTTTGAGACTGTTGTTATGCTAGCTCCTTTTGTCTGTGGGGCAATATCTTGGTCGTGTACATCCAGCTCCTCTCGGAGTCATTTCCTTCACAGTCTGATTTTAGTTAGTCCTTTTCATATTTTTTTCCCATTGTAGACATTCACTGAATGTAGGTATTCTTTCCAAAGACATTTAGTATGCTCATCTTTGTGTATGATTTTACAGACAGAGTTGAGAGAGTAAACCCTCAACATTATTCTTTTTTAGATCTCTTACTGCACAATTTTGCAGCTTCTTAGAAACCACTGGAATATTGTGGATTATCAGCAGCATGCAGGGCTGCTCCTGTTGAGGGTTCAGCAACTTGGCTCTCAGACCTTATAGAAAGGATGAAAAGGAATAATCTGCTTAGTCAGAAAACATCCTGGTTTCAACAAACTGCCCTTGGCAAGTTGAAAAGAAGTGATTATTAAGATATTCCATCTTCCTTGTCCTAAACTTAGCTGTTACAAGTAATAAGTATTGGAATAGTTAAAGGAGTTGAGACAACCTGCCTTTTCCAGCATGGTTTCTGGTGTAGGGGCAAAATTAAATTAATCAAGTATTACTTGGCACTGAAGGTTCCTTGAAGACACATCAAATGAGCTCTTAGATGTTGAGCACAATGAAAGAGCACGAAATAGTGGGAGAATTTATGCAAAATAACTGCATAAAATAAAAACAAAGTAAAAATAATAAAGTAATAATAATTTCATATAGCATTAGGATTGTGGCTGATGGTCTCAAAGGTCTCTTCCAATCTAAATGAATCTATAAGGATGCATGTGGGAGTGTTAGCAGCTGCTTCCACCCATGGATTCTTTGGATATGCTCTTCATGCTCAAGAGCAGTCATGCAAGCTTTGCTCCTGTGGGGTAAATGTTTCTAGTAACAGCAAATGGTAGCACACAGCTTCATTGCAGGCTTCTCCTTAAAATGGGGGAAGAAAGTAGTATTAAAAATGAAGTTTGGTGCTCCCTGTAACTTCCAGAATTCATGAAGGAGTGACTGCATTTGATACAGCCCTCAGCAGGGTAATGCTTGGTGAAATGTAGAAAACACAGGCGAGCAGCTCCAGTCTTCCTTGGCAATTCATGTCTGTTACTCTCTTGGCAGAATAGTTTCTGTCCATTAGAGCATTGCAGATAAAAAATGCAAAGGCACTCTGCCCAACCACTCAGATGTTGAGACAATAAGAAAGTTTATTCAGATGTCTAAGCTATTTCTGTTAGATTTACTAGAAGAAATTACATGTTGAATAACCCAAATAGGAGATTTGGTTACTTTGAATTTAGAACAAAAACCTGCATTGCTGGGTACTTTTATATCCTGTTTGTTAAATTCACTGGTCATTTCTGCCCATGAATAATGGTGGGTATGGGTACACTGGAGAAATTAAACTTCTTACATGTTTACTTACTTTCTCTTGAAGTAACATATCCACCAATCCGGACCCAATCTGTTGCACTTGAAATTCAAAGCAAAATTTTGAGATTTAGGTTTTGGGGGAAAAGTGACAAGATTGGTTCAAAGTTGTACATAATAGTTGAGTTTGATTTATTAGAAGCCCTCTAGAGCTATGTAATTATCTGGTGGGAAGCTGATTTGGTGTGACTTACCGTCCAGAGATCCTGAAGTGACAGCCTGAACTGCTCCTTTATCTTTGGAGAGAAGAGACTTTACCCATTAGTAACGGATTGCTGGATATATTATTTTAGAGAAAAAAAAAGAACAAACAGGTAAGATTTTTTCATTCTCCTCTTTTACTATTTCCTGTCTACTGCAAAGGCATTCTCTGTCATCTTTGATCTATCAGCTGTTGATTATTTGAAGATATTATCAGGTAGTCTCAAAGTACACAAAATTTGAATGTAATAATTTCTACAAATATTTTGTACTGTGGCTGTAGACTATTAATACACTTTCTGGAAAAATACAATTTCTATTTGCAAGTAGCAGATATTGAGGATCTAAGGATGTTGGTTTGGGGATTTTGAAAGTAAAAGTTGGGTAGAGCAAGAAAAGTTAGGGGTAGCTTCTGTAGGTAATCCATATACAATATTTGGGATTGTTTGTACATGACAAAAAAGAGTTATGACATCCTGAGTCAATCTGCAGTTTGTCATAAAACAATGTTTCCCATCTGACAAGAAGTACAGTTATGGTTTGAAAACTTATAGAAGAGTGCCTGGCACATAGTTTGTGCTTTTTTCCCAAAGGTGTTGCCTTTGGAATATGGTAATGCATGCTCTGTACCATGGCTTTAAGTTATTTTTTATCTCTAGCAAGCATTGGTAAAACTAAAATTTTAATTTCCAGTGTGACTGAATTTCAAGATATGGGCTGGTTTTGAGCTAATTTTTTTTTTCTGACAATGTTTGTGTGATCAGAAAGAGCTGGAATCTGAAGTCAGGAGCACATCAGTGAAAGTTAATCCTAAATTTAAAATTGTGGCTTAGTTTTGTGAAGCTGCTTTTATGGGCAAGATAGCTATTTCAAGGACAAAAAAAAACAAAAAAAAAGGGAGAGCAGAAAAATGTTAAAACTGATGCACACATGCATTGTACATGTATCTGTTGATTGTGAATCAAATAATCTTTCATAAAAACAAGTGGTTTGGGTTTAAGGTCAGGTTGAGAGGTTTAGCAATCTAATTTGGGGGATGCTGGCCCACAGCAGGTGGCTTGGAACTGAATGACTTTTAAAGGACCCTTCCAACCCAAACCACCCTGTGATTCTGTAAGTGTAAATGTTAATGTTCAGTATGAATTTAGAGTAAGGAAAATTGTGTTGGAGTTGCCGTAGTGCAATGAGATCAGCATCCAGAGTGTGTTGGGACTCAAAGGTGTGCTGGGATTGCTTCCATTGCAAGTCACTAGAAGTAAACAATATTGCTGTTGTTTGAACATGGGAAACCTTAAGGCAAGGTAAAAAGGCCTAGGGAGGATTTTGGAAGAAATCTTCACAATTCTTAAGATGCTTATTAGTGGGGAGAGAGGGAGGAACAAATACAATTCCTCAAGTTTTTTGTCAGGGAATTTTACATTTGAGTTAGTTCATTACTTAGAGAACTTTCTCTAACTCCCTCTAGGAATTCTTCCCTTTAAAAATACACAACAAACACACACAAAAAAAAAGTTAAAAACATCCATTCATTTTTTGCCTTTACTGTCTTGAAATCTGTGTACATATTTTTAGTCCTATAGCAAGAATTAAGCACAGGTTTTTCTCTGTGGACACAGTATTTTACTACTGATCATGGAAAACCAATTGCTAAGTCTGAGGCAGAAATAGACTTCTCAGTTCTGTGACCACTGTTAGAAAACAACACAGTTGGGATTTAGGGGCAAAAAGTGGGACATGTGGAGTTCTAAAGCTATTTTCTTGTCTTCCAATCAAGAAGAAAAATCAGTCATATGGATACACAACTAATTGCAGCCAGTGATGAAATGCATATTCTAAATTATTTTTCTATTACCCATGTAAGCTCAGAGCACAATAGAAAAGGGTTGTGCTTCCCTCTCCAATGGTATAACTTATTTCTTTTGCAAATGAAATAATTGTAAATATGAATCAGATACTTATAAAAATACCAATAATTGTAGCCAGTACAAGCTTGGTTGCTGCTCTCATTGTTTGTATATTTCGGCTTGATTATTGTTGGATCTTATTTTTCTGTTGAGAGGGGACATTTCCTTTAAATGGGAACTACCTTAAATGGTTCTGAAGTAATAGCAGCATCCCAAAATGAATATATAGATAATTGTTACTACAACTTTACTGAAGTCAGTTTTAGGCAGAACTGTAAGGCAGCTGTTCATTGGCTTTTTATAGTGTTTACACAGAGCGTTAAGCTGTTTCAAATTTCTTGTGGGTAAGGATGTATTTGTTACTTCTGCCTTGTCACAAGAAAGGAGGATGTTAGAGGATGTTACTGTTACCAGATGGGAGAGCATTGGAGAGGTCTTGAAACAGTAACAGTGTTTTAAATGGCAGGGGAATGTTGATCTATGAAGGGAAATTTGCCCGTGCATTGTTTGAGATTATTTTTATGCTATACAATATAAAATATAGTATGGCATAAAAAAAAATTTGTATCATGAAATAATTACTGAGAGTTAAAAACTTGAAACAAATGCATTTCAGAATATGTTTTTGTTTTTCTTTTTAAGAATTGCATGGTCATTAAGAATTTGGTTTTGCTTTAGTGTGTTGGAAGTTGAGGCAGAAGAGTCTGAAGCACCAAGGTGTCTGAAGCTCCTGTGCCGCACAGGCACTGATGCAGTTGTTCTGTTTTCTCTCACTAGTGTGTAGTTGGTGGGTGCAATGCCAGCTTTGCATCTCAGGGAGGACTTGCCCGTCATGTGCCCACACACTTCAGCCAGCAGAACTCTTCAAAAGTTGCCAGCCAGCCAAAGGCCAAAGAGGAATCTCCATCTAAAGCTGGAATGAATAAAAGAAGAAAATTGAAGAACAAGAGACGACGATCACTACGTAAGTGTTTCGCAGGAGTTCTTGAAAGGTTTGTCTTGGAATGAAAGTTCCTCCTCACTCTGGTGGTTTCTCTGCATATTTGAATCTGGTGGGGTTGACATTGCTTGTCATGGGAAGAAAACAATTCCAGATTCTGTTTGTGTTCCTTTTCAGGGTAAATCTCTGCGTGTCAAGGAAAAAAGATCAGTTTCCTGTGAGCAACGATTGGAGTTGCCAATTGAAAGAAGCTTTTCATTTCAGAGTTGCTTTTTGTTTACTGACTATTACTGTTGGAGGGGTTCTGTTTAGTGCTAATGAGATCTGAAGTTCAGACAGAGATTGCAGATTCATATAAATTAGAGATAAATGCATGTTATATAAGCTCTTTTTTTGAGCACAACATTTCATTATGTTAATGACAGTTTTATGAGCATAACCAAGATCTAATTTTGGGCAGAATTGACTTGCTATGTTTTTTTAATCTGTCTCCATATAGTTGATGTTCATTAATTTTATATGAACCAATGTGCTGAGGGGTGTGATTTGTCATTTAAAGTGAGAACTGTTTCCTCTAGCAAGAAATAAGCACTTACCCAGTACCTTTTCTAGTCCATTTCTAGTCATTGGTAGTCCCAAACTACCATCTGGTAGTTTGATTCCTGAGTTGTCCTAGCATTAGACTAATAAAACATCAAATTTCTATAGAGATTCTAATCTACAGAAATAGTTAGGAAAGATTAGGCAACTGTTAAAATATTTCACTTTGGGCTATAATTGCTTTGGATGCAACTCTCCAGTACCAAACTGATCATTTGCTGATATTGAATTGTTACTCTGCCACCTGCATTTTAGAAGAGACATTAAAAAACTCCTTTACATTTTTTTTCTGCTGCTATGTCAACAGCTGAAGAAAAAACTACATGTATTTTTACTTGTGGTGCAAAATCCATCTCACAGTATTGGAAAGTAGCACAAGATACCTTTTTTTATGAACCATGGGACATCTTAAATCTCATTCTGTTCAGAGTTTTATTTCTCCACAAGTCTTCTGTAGCAGAACATGTAACTGTGACCATCTCTCCCTTCCTGTGAAGAAATAGTTACCAGTTATTCAAATGGTACTGCAACAATGGATTCACATACTAGTGGTCTTAGGTGATTACTCTTTATCACACGATTGGGATTTAGTCTTAATGCCTCACCTGTGTTTTAAGGAACTTTATGGAAATTTATGGAGCAGTGGTCTGCCTTGCATGCAGACAAGCATGTCCTGGGAAGTTACATTATCCTCTGGAATTCTGAAAAGTTTTCCTTCTCATTATTCTTAAAAAATATATGAGCAAATTGTATTGTGAAACGCATCTTAAAAGTAGAGATTTCAAGAATTCCTCTGGTTTTGGTTCAACATTTAAAGAAATTAGAAAACTTTTTCTGTCCTTTTCAGAATTTGATTTTCAGAGAGCTTTCCCTTTCAGTTTGGGAATCTGGGTAAATGAGAAGGTTGCAGAAGGGAAGGCTGAGGGTTAGGGGCTCACTTTGCAGTATCTTTTTGCATGTTAGATGTAATGAGAGGGACATCTTGAGATAATCGTGATTTGTTGACTGTGTTACTCAAAATATAAATGTCTGAGAGCGGTCACTTGAAAATTCTTATTTTCGGAAGTTCCCGAGTTGCATGTTAGCTTGCTTCTCCATACTGATTTTGTTAGGTGGCTGATTTAATGCATCTTAATTAATTTGCACCCCCACTATATACAGAAGTGGTTTTCAGGTTGGCATTTTATTAGTAATTGATAAACATCATATTATATTATTTGACTTACAAATTTCAAATCAGAGCTTCATAATTGAACCTTCAAATCACCTGTTAATGTGCTTTAGTTGTAATAAGAATTTGCTGCGAAGTTATGAATGAATTTGTGGCAAAAAATGGAAATAATACATGTTGTGGGAGTGTTAAAGACCAGACTGCAGTATTTGAATGGTCTGCTGTCTTGATCAAGTGTTGCACAGGAAGAAAAATGACAGCTGCTTGAGCAATTTCTTATCTTCTTGCCTCTTGAGACAAGTGCAGTGCTGGCTGTAGACTTTTGCCTTAAGGCAGAAATCATCTCTAACTGAATTGGGAACTGACTACTGTAATGTATTTCTCCAGAGGGTCTGTGACCCAGAAATGTATCCAAAGTTGATGGCATTTTCTGACTATTGGCAGCTTTCCTTTCAAACTTTGGGTGGAGTATTGTTGGTGAAGTGAACATGACAAAGGGCTGAGACAGTCTTGCTTGTATTTCTGTTTCTTAGCTTGGTTTGAGTTAAAGAATGAAGTGTGCAAGTTTGTGTGCTTTGTCTTTACAAGAAGAATGGGGGAAGACAAAACCCTTATCAAAGAAGCCAAAATAACACAATTAACATCATTAAGTGTTTTCAGTTTGGAGTATATAACTCTAAATACCTAAGAAGGATTTATATTTAGATATTTTTAAGTGCCCAGAAGGAGAGATGTTTAACACATGTAACAGGCTCTCTGCAAGTTCTCTTCTCTTACAAGGACTTAATGATATGGATGTGAATCAAAATGCCATTTAATAGTGGACAATCTGTTTAATCAATCACTTGCACATAATAATGTGACAAAAGCTGGAAGTTTTTCAGCACAAAACAATTTGTCTGAAAAAAAAAATAAATCTTGTCAGTACGTTCTTTCTACCTCATGGTATTATTAGACCCTGGCTTTTTTTAAAGGTGTGAGTGGATTACTAAATATTGGCCAATATATACTGTTACTGAAGCACTCTCATGTATAAATTCTTAATAGTTTAAGTACAGCTAATTTATACATTTGCTTCCTCTTTTCGTATCTGAAGGTAACACCTTTTTGTGAGAGAATGTATAATGAAAAAGGAGATTTTACTGTGGCTATATGTGATGAGACTACAATCTTCTGATACTATTACTTAATTGCCTTTTTTAAGATCTTGCCATTTTAAAGTATTTTACTTTTCTTTTGTCCTGTCTTGTGTTTTTATGTTCTTCTAAGTTTGAAAATCAGCCTTTTATCATAAAGCTTGTTTTACTGGTGACACCCCTTTAACTGGTCACATTCATGGTGCTGTAGAGATATTATTTATCCTAGGAATTTTGATGTAGAATAATTCAGGATTGGAGTCTGTGGCTTGCTTTCTCTTCTGGGTGGCCTTTACATGTTCCCTCATTCATGCAGAGTGGCTTTTAGAACCAAATCTGTTGAAAGTGTGTACCTCTAAAACAGGTCACGGTATTGCTGTTCCGAAGCTGCCTTGACCACAATATTGCCACTTGCTTTTTCATTGCAAAGATGACACTGTAGTTATTAACAAGCACGACAATCAAGTTCACAGGAGGAATATAAGAGAGATAAGGCAGCTTACTGTCCGTGAAATTTGCTGTAAGACTCTGTTACTTATGGAGGGCTTGGATTTTCATTTGGTGGGTTACCCATTTGATGATGTAATTTGTTTGACTGAAGGAACTGCTGAATACTTGGAACTTGCATTATTAAGCATGAAGGAAGATATTTAAATCCATTTCCTCAAAATCATTTTGGGGTAAAGATGCATAGAAAATACTAACACTTAAGAATAATTTAAATAATTCATACACTTTTGAAAAATTGTGCCCTTTCTTCTCAGTCTGCTGAATGTTTTCCACTGGAAATCCTGGAGAAATTTGTTGCATAAACCTGAAAGCAAAAATCTGTTGTTTTTTTTTTTCCTTCTTTCCATCCTCCCTCCTTTCTTCCCTCAGATTTATTTATCAAATATTTATATGCTTGCATCAGTGAGCACCTGCAGCACGAGCTGTGGGCCTACATTGCCACTTAGAGAGAGAGCACATTGCAGTGAGATGATTGCCTAATTGGCAGTGTCCAGCTGAGATGGAGCAGGGACAGGACAGAATGTACAGATGAGTGCTTACCAACAGTCAGCCTCAGGAGTGCAGCAGGTGCTAGCTCCAAGTGGGATTTGTACTTCATTTTGAAATAATGGATACAGGAATACAGAAGCTGTTTTAAGTGAAGACAGCAAAAGTTTTAATCACTGTTTGTGCAGATTTCAGGGTAATACGTAGTTGTTAATGTAATACCAGTTCCTACTCTTAGTTTTAATTTCAATGTGTTATTTAATAAATTGCTGCTCTCAAATAAGGCTTAAAAATGTGAATATTTTCATTCTGACTTTTCTTCTAATGTAATGTAGTTTCAGGTTTATATAGTATATTTTAAAACTTTTCTGTGAAATATTTCTAATACCGTGGAAATATGTTCTTAATAACAATTATTTTGTAGTTTAAGTACTTTTAGTATAGAATTGATGGACTTTATTTTACGCCCTAAATCAAAATTCAATAATCTTTCTACTGTTCAAGAAACACTTAACTATAAAAATCCTTTTCTAAAAGGAAAAGGTGTTTATAATGCCTGCTGCTTTTATACTGGTTGTAAAATCTCAGATGGGTGTTAGTTGTATTTTATTCATTATAAATTGAAGGTTAATATGTGATGCATGCAGCTTGTGCTTCTTAGTCAGAAAATGTTTACTAATAGTCCAAGAACATGGAATGACAACTTGTACAGAGAAAGAAATGTGTGATAGTGTGGGGTTTTTCACCTGACTGTTCAGCATTATTGAAACTGAAATGAGTGGATGTGGTTGCATTTTTGGAAATAGCTGTTTCATTCACAGGGAGTGCGTTTTGAGCAAACTTGAATTGTGCTTCTCTAGGAATAATTTCTCCCTTGCAGTAAAAATGATGTTTGCAGTTCTCTGACAAGGTATTGCTGCTGACAGAAGGATAAATGGTTTACTAATGACACTTCATTTACATGCTTGAATGTGTTTGAATGCTTTCAGTGTGTTGAACACTAAGGATCTCTTTTCCTTTTTTCCAGCAAGACCTCATGACTTCTTTGATGCACAAACACTGGATGCTATAAGACATCGAGCCATCTGCTTTAACCTCTCAGCACATATAGAAAGTTTAGGAAAAGGCCACAGTGTTGTATTTCATAGTACTGTAAGTATATATATGATGAATTCTTTTTGTTTACCTCTGTGTCTGAAAAATCCAGTCTTTAAGAAATATTTCTGTTTTCCTCTTACTGCTGTAGACATTTAATCAGAAATAAGCAATAGTGGCTCTTTAGTGTTGTTGAGCTGTCCACTGTTAGTAAACAAACTTTTAAGAGGTGTTGGTGGTAGTTGTTCTAGCTCACAGACTGAGTGGATTGCAGCATTTACTGTTTGATCCAGTTGGGGAATATCTGACAGTAACTTCGTGTCGCAGAAGAAAATTGGTTCTTTCTTCTAAATAAGAGCACAGTTCAGATGGCATTTCCATGGTCATGAGTGACAGTGGTCATTTATCACAAGAAGTATTTTTGGTGAATAATTGAATATATTAATGATGCTGATCTGAAATATGTGTTTATTCCCTTTTTTCCTCCAGTTTAAAAGATAGAATCTTGAATAAATTTATTCCCGTCCCCATTTTTTCTTTGGATAAACTCACCACCAAAATATTGGGGAATTGCTGGAAGGAGGCAAGAACCAAGTGGGGAACTTGTGTTTGGATAGGAAAGACATCAGCATTAATTTAGAAGAGTTTAAAGCAGGGATAAAATACTGAATTGGGGCAGAAGGATCAGAAGTTTAAAAAGTTGAATAACCTCAGGTTTTCTTAAGCATGTTGGGAGATGAGTGCATGTAAAAGGTGGAGACTTGGCTGAAGAAAATAGGTAAGAGATGGGACAAAATGGGGAGGGATGGTTTTAAATTGGTAGAATAGTCAGACCAGGAGTTCTGGCTGACAGGTCTTCAGCTACAGCTTTATCTTGTTATGGGATTCAAACTCTTGAACTATCAGTCTCTTTCCATAAATAAAAGATGATTTTGTGTGCATGAAGCTTATTTCACCTTGTTCTGCAAGACTGATGATTGCTCTGAATGAATACCTGTGGCCTGTATTGGAAATCTTTTCCAGATTATTTCTGCTGAACTTTCTGTACATTGTGCACCAGCTGCAAGTGGAGCTTGCAGGTGGCTTAGCTGTTACTGTATTTAAATCTCATTCTAGTTTCCCTGGCCAATGTGGATTTTACAGTGCTGTGAGAAAAGCAGATTCTTTTCAAATTCACAGCTTGCTTTAATCTGAAAGGTGATCCAGGCAGTCTACTCTGTTGCGGAATAACAGCTCTGGCTATTGGAATAATTCACAAGGAGGTGGAATTAGAGGGAGGAATCTGCTCTAAAACTGCTTCCCATGAACTTGAAGGAAGTTGTGAAAATCGTTGTAGCTCATCTGTGCATGTGTCACTCGAGATGGTGGGAGGCTGATTAGATCTGGAATTGCCGAGACCTCAGTTGTGGGAGAGCTTGTACCAGTGGGAGAGCTGCTCTGGGGTTCCAGCCCCCTGCTGCTCTTGGCTGCTGTATTTTGGGGTGCTGGCTTGTGGTGGACATCAGCTTTGTTGATGAGACTTAGCCTAAAAATCAGCTTTAAAAAGAAAAGGTAGGCAAGAGGCTGTTTTGTGGACTGCTACACTGAGCTAACCTCAGATACAAACACTTACTCATTTTGCATCACTTAAAGGCATTACACATGAGATTTGAATGGTGACTGGCTAAATGGCACAATAAGTTTGTGTGCTCCACCTTCAGATGAAGAAAAAATGCGTAATTAACAGAGACATTAATTTGGAAGGTGGAAAACAGGAAGATGAAATTGCCATGCTGTCTGAAAAGAAACATAAATGATGTGGCTTTATTGTTTTACTCAGCATAAGAATAATGTCAGCACAATGCAGTATATTTCAGGGCAGATATTCTAATATAAAGAATTTCTAAGCAGTAACTGTGGATACCTTTCATGTTCTCTGAAAAGGCACATCCTTTCATTTATATGTACTTCTTTAACACAACCTTTTCTTTTAGATATGGGGAGATTTAGAATGCAGTCATTAATAAGACCTTTTTGAGGAAATGTGCTTGCAATCCAATACACCTTTGACTTGATTGTGGTTTTTTCTGCTTGCTTTTTAAAAAATTTTTTGTATTTTAATTCTCTGAATTAATTAATTAATTAAATATCTACTTAATCTAATTCAGTAGACATGCCAAGCATGTCTACTTAAACTAAGGAACAGATATTACACTGATTAAAAAATGTGACTTAGAGGTTACTCTGTCATGCCAACCCCAATTTTGAAGTGGCTTGAATTAATTCCCTGAAACATTTGAACACTAAACTGTTCCCTGGTTTCAACTTTTTTTTAGGTATTTTAGTTCAGTGGCCACATGTATTTTAACTGGTTACATAGTTTCAATAATTGAAACCTTGTAAGCAGTAAATTAATCCACTGAGATGCCTACCAATTTACAGTGTGAAATTGTTTTCTTTTTCCAGAAGAGGTCAGCAAAACTCTATGTCTGATTTGAGACCACTTTGATGGATGTTTGCTTGGAATTTCCATTTTGTTTCTGGGGCACTGCAGGAAATGTAGAGAGCGTAGTAAGAATATTTCCAAATAAAGCCGTATTAAGTGGACATCTGCTGGCTGAATTGTGGTTTTCACTTAAAAACCTAAATGGATTTAAGTTCTTTGCAAAACAATTTGAAGTCTTCAGAGCATATTTATTGCAGACACACAACTTTTAAGGAGTATAACAGTCTGCTTTCTATGAATGTCTAGTAGGACATGAAGAACAACAACTTTTGAGGAAAAAAATCTGTAATTTGGTTTTAATTATGATTTTGCAATTATTATAGGTAATAGCTAAAAGAAAAGAAGATTCTGGCAAAATAAAACTCTTGCTTCATTGGACACCAGAGGACATGTGAGTATATTGCTAGTGATACATTTTAAATGGGGAAGGATTTACTGTGGGATCAATGAACTGTTACTAAATTATTTTGTGCCTGTGATTATTTGAGTTAAAGTTAATATTTTAAAAATGCTTTTCAGAAAGTAAGAAGTTTAGAAATCAATAAGCAAAGGGTTTAATGATTTTCACTTTCAAGTCTTTTGGCTGTAATACCAGTTCAGTTAAATTTGTATCTCTATTTTTAATGCATTTTGTCACAAGTTTCAATTCATCATGAGGGACAGAAGCTAAAATATTCTTATAAAATAGGCAGTTTTTTGATTCCTTCTAGAGCAGATGGTAATATTATATCTAACAGCATTCTGAAATTTTTCTTTTTAAAATTAATACAGATTATATAATTTTACAGATAAAGACAGTTAATTTTATTTTAAGATAAGCATTAAGAAGTATGCAACACTGGGAGCATGAAAAATAAAAGAGTAAATTTTTTTTTTTAATACAGAGTTGAGTGGTTTTTTTGTTTGTGCAGGTGAATTCAGTATTAGAATCTCTGCATTGGAGAGAGGTTGTTCAGTCATGTTAAGACATTCCCAAGGGAATTTAGATTTGGTTGGTCGGGTCAGAGGAAAAATATGTTTTATATTGCTGTTTGCTGCATCTTGGTTGGGTTAGATGGGTTAGACAGAGTGGGTATTTCAGAATGATGTAGTTTTGAATTACTGAGTACTCAGTTCACCCTGATTATTCCCTGTAAGCAGAGGAGATGCCAAGGTGTCCTGGCACACACCCTCAGTCTGTGTTACTGTCAGGGCACTCACACTTCAGAAAGCAAAATGCACTCAGGGTTGTTCCTTTCCACTGCCCTGAGCTGCTCATCAGCCCTCCCCGTGGAGCTGGGAGTAGTGATTTAGCTTCTAGACTGAGCAGAACTTCAACTTCTACACTGAATCCTCTTGAGAAACTGCCCAAGTTCTCCAGGATGTCCATATGTTCAGAGTTTTGGTCAGCAAAAGTAAATACAAGTCTTGAAGTAATTTCCTCTACAAGAGGAAAGTAACTTTTAGTGGGCTGGGAGGGTCGGGGTTGTTTTGTTGGTTTTGGTTTTTGTTAAGAACAGGAATTTATTTTCAGTGCCAGTAAATCAGCTCACTGACTTGTTGTCTTTCTGTATATTTCAAATCTCTGCATGTGAAAAATTTTCTTTTTTGCTGTTTGTATCTTGAGCATACAGTTGCTACTGAAAATGTCTTCCCAATGTTGGTTGTCCAAAACCTGATTTTTGGCTTTATTTAAAATACTTCTATGATGTTTTTCCACCTTTCATGATCCATGAGATTAGTGAATAAATGGATTGCCTGTTGGGTTCTCCCTCCCCTTCTGCCCTGTTGTTTTAAATTTTTTTGTTCCTCCTTCATCTGAAAGGTTTAATTGGAGAAACTCCTTTTCCTGCTAGGGTAGAGGTTCTGGGTTTCATTTGATGTTTTGAATAGCTTACCCAAAAAATTGAATTTGAGTTGCAGCTAACTTTTCATGCAAAGTGAAATCTTTGCAAAATACTGATTCAGTGACATAATTTGCAAAAGTCTGTGAAATTTGGCTTTGCAGAGGAAGAGCCATTACATTTAGTTTTAGATGTTGGGCTTCTCAATTTGAAACCTGTTTCTAAGACTTAGACACCTTTGTTACAAACTCCTCCCCCAACCTGAAGTTACTCTTTGGTTTCTAGGACATGTAGAAAATTTTTAAAACCCCACCAAAAACCTAAAGAGGGTAATCAAACAATTAACTTCAGCAAAGTTGGAGCATTTTGTCTTTGAAACATTTGAGCTTGGAGCAAGCAAATTAGTGTAACTCAAAGCCCAGTGCCTGCAGTGTATCCTGTCCTTTAATTGAACAGAATCAAGGAATTCTGCCTAGTAAAATAAACTATTTTTAAAGGTCTGGTTGTTTTTTGTGTTACCCATTTTCACATTAAATTGTTGCTATGGAGAATGTAGGGCCATTATCACTGGAATATACTTCAGGAATATACTTCTGGAATGATGTAAATTCTCTTCAGTGTCTTTTCAAACTGAGAACCTGAAAAACTTCCAAGTGTAATGTGTAAAGATTGGGTGCCTTTCCTCACTCTGGTGAAGATGCTTTTTAACTAGGGAAATGTGAAATTTGCTTCATGTGTACTAGTTTACCACATAATGTTATGGTAAGAAAAACAGTTGATCTTTTTTGAATATTTTTATTTTATTTATTTATTCATAGTCTCCCTGATGTGTGGGTAAATGAAAGTGAGCGACATCAGTTAAAAACTAAAGTAGTTCATTTATCAAAACTACCAAAAGATACTGCCTTGCTTCTGGACCCAAACATTTACAGGTAACATCTTCATTTTGCAACTTTCTTTACTTGAATGTAATCTTAAGCCTCACTTAACTTTTTGACGTTGGAAAATCAGGATTGCTAATGTATTATACACCAGATCAAGGAGCCTTGGTACTGTAAACGTCCAGGAGTTAAGTTCTGAGGTCTTAAGTTATTTCAGAATTACTTCTTGAACTAAACTCTAGTGACTGAGAAACGGGGAATGTGTGTATTTACCAAGTGTATTTTACTTTTTTGTGCTTGGTGTACAGAAATTCTAGTAAAGGAGGTACATACAGTGGAATCCTGAAAGATCACTTCTGTTAAGATCACATACTGGTTTGTATACCAATTTTTTTAAAGTCCAAATTTATCTTTCCATATTATATTCAGCTGTAATACATGCAGTATTACCTTGAAACTTGTACTTGTGTTCAAGTACTGTTATTTTTTATTACAAGATTCTTTATAGGGGGACAAAAGGGAACAATCCATGTTACTTGTCTTTAAGCTACTTTCACATTTCTGTTTTTAGGCCCTCAGATTGGCTTCTAATCCATCTGGTTTCTAATAATTTCCTGATTCTCCCCCCACCCCTTTATTACTGCTCTCCCATGATTGTCAGTACCCACAGTTCTGTGTGTACAGTTTTTAAAGGTAATCTGAAATGCTTAATTCATTCTGAAATTTCGGGCATCCATAGATCCATATGTGATTATATTAAAAATCCATGAAAATGGCTTTTGGAAAGGAAGCTTATCATAGCAGAAGTTCAGTGTTCCGATGTTTCTTCCTTAACATCCAGTGACCAAGAGTCTCAAGGAGTAAATGAAACACTAATCTGAGGTCTTTCAATGCAATAAGCCTTTCAGTTCACCTTTAATACTCAGTGTATTTCACTAATCAAATTAATGAAAACTTGCTTTATTATATGAAAACAAATCCTACTGTATTTGCTATCTTTGTAAATGTGTTTTAAGTACTTAGCTTAGTCTATGAATCATTGCTATTAATGGTAAAATCATAAAAATGTTATGGTGAGATTGGATTGTGTGTTTTAAAACTGCTTAACACAGTGACTTTTATAATCTATTGAGGTGTTAATAATTTTATATTGATTACCTATTTTGCTAAGCTTGATAGATTAGTTTGCTTTGAAAAGAAAAGAATAACCTTTTAAAATAAAAATATAATGATCTCTGGATTAAACCCCTGGAGAAAAATTAGCAAACCTTTCTATCTCTCCCAAATGAAATTAAGGTCCCCACATGTAATGTTGGACTCTATTTTTAGCAGTATGGATCAGTCTGTGATTCAAATGAGCTTTTGGGACCAGCTGAGGGAGCTTAATGATGTAAATTTTAAAACCAAGACTTCAGAAGCAGATTTTTAAAACCAAAATCTCTTTTCAAGAGGAAAGGGTAGTTAAAGAAATTCAATGGCAGTTATTAATGTCATGCTAAAATGTCATGCTTTAGTAGAAAGTCTGAAATAATTATCTGAAATGTACACTTTGGTGAGATCATCTGAAATGGCTCTTGGTTTTAATCAAATGCAAGTAGATTTGTATAGTCATGATTTCATTCAGCTGACCAATGTATACATCACAGGGTCTTAATGTAAAGCTGTACCGTCTTCTTTTACAGAACAATGCCCCAGAAGAGGTTGAAGAGGTAAAAACCAAGCAAGTGGGGACACCTGCAGTCTTAGTCACTGACAATGGATTTAGAAATAAAGTTGCACATTAGTCAAATCCCATCTTTTTTTTTTTTTTTTTTTTAGAGAAATATTTATGCTTAGTGTAAACATTCTGTGAATGAAGTTGATGCTTCCGTGGAATATATTAATATATTACTGTATATCCACATTTTCATGGAATGGTACAGTGGGAGACTGAGCAAACACTCTTCTGGCAACTTAGTGGAACAACTAAAAGGCTTTGCATGCTTGCTTCTTTAAGCTGCTTTTTTCTTTAGTGAATACAGTAGTCTATATTTGATGAAAAGAAAAAGTAACCATCACCATTTCCTCCCGATTCCCAGGAGAACTGTTAACAAGCTATTGGGCTTCCTGTCAGTGTTAACTAAACCTAACACATGCCAGACAACAGAACAGCTACCAAGGGAATATCCTGTTGCCCTTTGAGTATGGTGGATAGTAATCATTCGTCATTTGTGATCTTGTGTCCTTTTGCAGATCCCTAAAATATGTTGGATTATGGTGTTGAAACAAATGTTGATGGAATGCTTGTCTTTTCCAGTCAACTCTGAATACGTATAGTACGGTGGCAGGATGTTCAGAGTGTTGCAGTCTGTCTGACCCCTTTGCAGGAGTAGTGTAGTGTGTTCATCAGGTCTGCTTTGGTGTGATCCGTATCAATGGACGGGTTTGGGAAACCTCGGTGTAAGCAGTCAGTGTTACTGGTGATTTTTTTTTTTGCTTTTTTGACCCTCTAGGATCCCCATTCACTTGTAAAGTATACTTTATTTGGCCTAATGTTTTCTAGCTGTAAAGAAAATGGTATTTTTTAAAAAAAATTAATCTAGAAATTCAATCCTTTATGCACCAAAGTTGGCTTTGAAAAGGAAAGTAAAATCATTTTCTTGCTTAATAAGCAAGGAGCCGTGGATTTTTTTTAACTGACAAATAGAGATGCGTCTAACCTGTTAGTCTTTGTATGGAGACAAAAATGTTGCATATAGATAATAGGACATTGCTTGTAAATATTTCAGCAGATTTGTAATATATTTTTATATTATGAAATGTACTGTAGATGTTTTTCTAGAGGCATGAAAGTTAAAATGTATATATTACGGTAGAAATAATATTGAAGGATATTGTAATTCACTAGTGCTGCCAGAAGAATTGTTTAAAAAAAGCACCTTCCTTAACAGTAAAAAAAAAACCTTCTTTTACATACCTAAGGGACTATATACTACTGTTAATATCTGTTGTAAGAACAAAAATACATTGAACATCCTTCCCAGAAATCTTAGAGGGATGAATAGTACCCATAATTAATTCATGGCACTCCTTTCTAATAGTGAACACAGAATTAGTTTTTTCCTTACTGTCGGAAGGAACTAATATGTAAAATTTGTATGGATATATGCAGTCAAACTGCAGAGTTAGTCCTCCTTATTGGGGAGGAATTTACTACAGTGAAACTAATAACCAGCAGTTTTTACACTAAATTTTTATTAAATAGATTAAGACTTAAAGTAACCCTTTGGTTGCAGAAGTGAGCACATCCTAATGTAATACAAATGCGTTCTGCATTGGTACTGACACGAGTCTTGCTTAGCTCCAGTGGGTTAAAAATGTTACTTATATACACAAAAAAATAATCCTATCAACGATATGAAGTGCAGATTAAAAGCACCACTAATATAAGATGTTCTGGAATGGTTGTTTAATAAGGGTATTATTCATAAAATCTGTAGTGACGTGACTTTATTTTTGGAAGAAATGCAGTGTTTTGGTTTTTTATTTTTTTGCTTGAGCACTTCACCTACTGCTTTTTCTGTACCTATAAAGTAATCCGTAATCTTTGTTTCTTTTTTTTTGAATTTGTTATAAAATTGCCAAATAGAAGTGTTTCAGATATAGTTTGTATTTGTATTTTTTTAATTTTATTGCTTCATGAGTTTCTTGTAAGTCATTTATAATTGACAGATGATTGTAGACCTTGCCTGAGTATTTTTTCTAATAAAACAAAGCAAACAAACCTCATAAGCCTCAAAATTGTGCAATTTCGATGGAGTTTTCAAAACCAAATATAAAAATGATGCTGTTTCCTCTGTAACTTGTAACACACACCTTTACAGAAGGGGGAATTCGTGGATTCAAGTGATGTGGTGTTCATGTAAAATGTGACTTCTCCTGGGTTTGAGAAAACTGTTACCTCGTGTTCTCATGGCAGAGTTTCTGCTTTGGAAGGAAAAATCAGTTTAAATAACAAACATCTGTTAAGAAATGGATACACTTGGAGTTAATTAAACTTTCCATGATAGTCAAAAGGTAAGTGGACATTTGGCTGAGGTTTACTTGTAGTTATAGAAGTGAATTGCTAAAACTATTTATGCTTGAAAGTTATTTGCATTCTACAAATTTTGGAATTACTTGGTGGTATTTTGTTTCAAATGCCAGTCTGTTCTCTAAAGCTCTGCTGCAGTTTTTTATGTGCCCCTGGGTGGATTTCACTTTTGTTGGAATACCAGGTAGGTGGAGCTGCCACTGTGTGCTGGGGGGCACTGATCATGTTTTTTTTTCTGAAAATAATCTTATTCTTACTCTTGAACAGTGTTTCTGAAATAATTGGCCTCTCCCCTTTTAAGTAATTCCATGTGCTTTGTTTTGGGCTGTTTGGGATGTAACCTTTAAAGGTTTCTCCCTGTCTTTCTCAAGAACATTTTTTTCATGTTAGGTTTTCCAGACATCTACAGATTGCATTCCCTCCCAGCTTGAGTGTTTATTTTCTTTGTAGAGAGATGTCAGCTCCTTGAAAGTCACACTTTTCAGGAGTTGCAGTGCACACAAATATCTGTGTTCAAACTCCAGTTCTTTTGGAATGTGCTGGCTTGAATGGTGCACTTTTCTAAAATGGAATAACAGGATTTTTGAGCGAGGATTGTGTTTTGGGCTTGAAGACCAGCTCTGCCTGTTGCTTAAGTGCATGGAAATTCTTGTCTGGGAAGACTTGCTGGCATTTGGGCATAGCACAAATTGTTTGTTTGATACTAGATCTTACTCTGTTTGCTAATGCACCTTAATAATCTGTTTATTAAACACAGAGCAGAAACAAATTGGTAGTTTTCTTGCACTTGCTTTGAATATAATTTTCTCAAGTTACTGTAGGTCTTTCAAAATCTTTCAGATTTTGGCCAAAATGTGCAATAGCTTGCGCTATATTTTTCCTCTATAGTCGATGAAGTAATTATATAAAATTGAATTTCTAATTGAATTGCACATTAATTCTGGACCAGCTTCATTTGGAACAAACAGGTGAATTGTGTTCAAACGTGCATTGTTTTTTATAATTGAAATTCAAGTGGTTGATTTCTGTGCCCTTCAGCTTTTCAGTGCTGTGTATGAATTAATTAATGCAGAACAGTGGTGTTTAGTACTTCAGTCTGAAATTGATGGTTTACTTCCACTTGATGGTTTACTTCCACTTAATGCTCTCCTGCCTTGACATTTAGGTGAACCTATTCTAAGTATTCCTCTTGTCATATTAATGTATGACAAGTACAACAGAAAAACAATCCTATAATAGGAAAGTTGGCATTTAAAAAAAACGGCTGAATGTATGGCTTCCATTGGTGTTTGTTTATTCCAAGCAAAGAATATTCTAGTAAACTTTGTTGAATCAACTTTTATTAAAAAGTCTGTATTATGTTTTGGGGAAGGGGGAGATAAGCACCACCTGCACTACTGCTGTGAGCAACACAAACCCTTAAAGTTGTTTAATTTCTAATTTCTGAAATTACTTAAAAATAGGTATCAGTTCTGATGTACAGCAGCTTGCTGTCCTTTCAGGGATGATGGCAGGATTGGGAGTTACTTGTTATTCACAAGGCTCTGGTGCTGAGCTGTCCTCATGGGGTGACCCAGCCCAGGAGTCACTGTGATCTTGGCTGCAGACTTGGATAAAGAAGGGAAGAAGGAGATGTTGCTGTGAGTTTGGCGGCTGCTGGAAGGTTGAGAATTCATGATTCTGTCCTCAGCTCTAGAATGGAAGGAACTGTAGTCTAGAGATTTAAGCTCATTTCCCCTTCTCTCCCACATACATCCATGCACTCACCTCTAACTCTTACCTAGAGAAGAGTTAAAATCAGGATGTGTCTGATGTCATAATGTAACTTAGAGTGGAGTAAGGAAATGTAGTTCTAAGAGTAAAGAGAATAAAATTGTGTTGATTACATACAAAAAGCGGGCTCTTGGTTGTCAGCCAGTTGTGGATCAATTCAGGTCCTGCAGTTGTTTGTGAAGATTAATGTGCTGTGATTGATGCTACATTATTTGTTTTCCCTAAGTCTGAAACTGGCCCTTTGAACTTTTGTAAATTGCCCTTGGTAGTAAAGCAACAAATACTAAGTAATATGATAAATCTGTTTATTTCTTCCCAAATGAGAGATAATTGCTGATAACATCCCCTTGGCTTGGCTTGTGTACAGGAGATTTGAGTCCTGTCTGTTGGATGCTGTTCAAAAGAACGGTCAGATTTTAATATCCTTGGTGTTTTGCCTGTGTTTGTAGCCTCAGTGGAGGATGAGAGATCCCCACAATTATTTACTGTGAAGAACTGCCTCTGATTTGAGACAGTCAGTAGCCTTTCTGACTAATCAAGGGCTACTGTCTGCCTCAAAGGGTTAGGCTTGGAGAAAAAGATCAACTTGGAGACCTTGTGAAATGATGAAAGAATATCCCTGTGGTCAGTTGGGTCAGCTGCCCTGGTTCTGTCGTGGGCACCCCCAGCCCACTCCCTGGCAGGGCAGCATGAGAAGCTGACAAGCCCTTGACTTGTGTAAGCTCTGCTCAGCAAAAAGTAAAAAATCAGTGTGATACCAGCACATTTGTCATCCTGAATTCAATTGAATTCCCCATCCTCACTCTGAGATCTCCTTTTTCTCAGTGTCATTGCTCAGTCACGTTTCTTGGCTTGTTTCATCCGTGAAACGTCGTGCCTAAGCTCAGGTGGCTCAGTGGGATTTGCCCAGACATATGGAGTCTGACCAATGCCTCGTTGATTTTAGAGGACATTGTTATGGATATTTGACTTGATTACCTCTGTTCAAATCTCCTGTCTGAAACCCAGATTGTGAAATCAGAGGGACTGGAACACGATGTTGCTCGTGATTCATTTAAGCCAAAATGCTCAACATGAGCCACTTAAACGTGTCTAGGCACTGAAATATATGTTTGGATTTACATAATTTCAAGGCCAAAAAATTAGTAAATGTATTGTTTTGGGAGCAAAGCCTTGGAATGTGAGATTCAGGACTGCCCCTAAGCAATAAAAGCATTTTAAACAGTTCTAATTTTAAACACTTTGCAGCTTTTACTTCCTAGTGAAGGCAGGGGCTTGGACCCTGCTTGCTTTTTCTTTCTTCTTGCCATAAATATTCTATCCTAGAGCATGAAAAATAAGTCAATTACACTTGAAACTGTTTATTGCAGAGCAGATGTGTGCATACAGCAACTGTAGCTGAAAGCCCAAGTATTTAATTAGCAGTTGCCTGCAGCTGGATTCTTTCTTTTTAAACAAGTGAGGAGGTAGGAAAGCAGAAAAGGATGTCAGGAGACATTCTGCTGACAGTGAGCAAGTTCATGTGTAAATACTTATTAAAAATTTTCCTCTGCCTCCATCCTCAGAGCCATCATGTGGTGTTGCTGCCTTTTCATTGTGCTGTGCAGCCATCCGTGAATTCCATGTCCTCACTGCCCAGACACCTGTGCTGCCTCAGTCAAGTAACATTTGATGGGGTTCTGTGGCCTTAAGAAAGATATGAAGATGGATCTGAAGGTTTTCTAGCAATCCTGTGCTCATCTGGTAGTTTTGTTGTGGCTGTTCCCTCTGCTGCTGTTGAGAGTTCAAAATTCTTGACTAAAATATTTGTTAATTTTAATCTTAGAAGGTATTTAATAATTTCATAACTATTACATGCATTCCAGTGGGAGCTGATTTCAGCAGTAGAGGATTCAAAGATATGTTAAGCTGGAAGACAGTAAATATTCTGCTGCTGTTGAGAGTTCACCATTGATGTGGAGACTGAAGATTTATGTTACGGTCAGAGCTCAGAGTGGGGACAGACTTTGCTCATGGGCAGAGCTGTGTGGATTTGCTGCTGGAGGTGTCACACAGGCTCTACAGGTCAAATCCATGGTGGTGCTAGTTCTTTGTGTGGTTTACATCTCATTGACTAGTTACAAACAGCTTTTAAAATGGGCAGATGCAGATAAATGTTGTGTGTATGTTGTAAAAATTTCAGAGAGCTGGTTTGTGAATAAAATGTGGCCTCTCTCTTAAAATAAGCTGCATTTCTTTTTGTTCAGAAGCGAATTGCTGTGGAGGAAAGGTGCAAACAAAAGCTTACCTTGGCTGATGCCTCATCTGGATAATTACTACAAGCTGTACAAACTGCTCACAGTAGTTACTGATGTATTTATCTTGGACCCCCCCCCCCCTTTTTTTAAAATTCTTGACTAAAATATTTGTTAATTTTAATCTTAGAAGGTATTTAATAATTTCATAACTATTACATGCATTCCAGTGGGAGCTGATTTCAGCAGTAGAGGATTCAAAGATATGTTAAGCTGGAAGACAGTAAATATCAAGTAAATACCAAGACATGCAGCCCCACACTGTGCAGTTTACAGAAAGTACAAACGGTGCTCCTGTCCCACCCCACTGTTCTCCCAGGTGCTCAGATCCCACACGTCACAGTACATTTCCACTCTGTGTGTGTTTTAGGATTAAATCTAATTTCACAACACTCTGTAACCAAAAGGTGGCAGCAGCCTACCACACTAAACTGCAGAAATTAATGTATCCCTTGGTGCTGAGACTGCTGAAGGTGTTTGGTTGCTTTTCTACACCAGCCTCCTTGTGTGCAGTTTGGTTTGTTGATACAGGATGCAGTTGTGTGTTAATTAACTGCAGCTCTCCTCACTGCTTTTCTGTTGGTCTGTGTCTCTCAGATGTTGCAGAGGAGAAGAGTTTTATCT